AGGTAAAGAGAATTGTGTATTAGCTAGGTGATCTCTAAGCTCCTTTATTTTACATTCTGGTTTTTTGTTTTGTTTTATTTTGTCAATCTGTATAAATGTAACTGAACAAACATAAATGAATACGTGTTGCTGGGTGTGTGGTGCATGCCTGTAATCACAGTGGCTCTGGAGGCTGAGGCAGGAGGATTTCGAGTTCAAAACCAGCCTCAGCAGCTTAGCAAGGCACTTAGCAACTCAGCGAAACCCTGTCTCTGAGTAATATATAAAAAAAGGACTGGGGATGTGGCTTAGTGATTGAGCATCCTGGGTTCAATACTCAATCCAAAAAAAAAATGAATACATGTAAATAGTGAGACTGCTGTGGCAAAAAACTGGTCTGTTTGAAAGGGAAGAAGCTTCTTAAACCAAGATGGCTTTTTTTAAGAAGTAGGCAAGCAGCTGCAGTTAAGGAAGTGCATACAAAAGACTATTAAAATATTATTCAAACTGTTGGACAGTATGGGGGAAGTCCGTTAGCATTGTTTGGATTTGGAAATATATACATCCCTATTCCAAAATTTTAAAATCTGGAATGCTCCAAAATCTGAAGTTTTTTTAATTTATACATGAATTTTTTCTGCCCAGTAACCTCTCATTTGGGAGAAATGGTTCACACATTATCAGAAAGATGTTGTTCAAGAATAAACAGTTATTTTGATATTGTTGGTTTTAAGTTAACTTTTTAAAATATAAATATATAAAAAATAAAAGTGATTTTGGTGTTTTTGTTGTTGAGATACAAACAAGAGTTTATTTGACAGAGATAACAAATAAAGGCCATCTCTCTATAGGAGAGAGAGGCTAAAGCCTTTTTTGTTGTTGTTTTATTGTGGTGTTGGGGATTGAACCCAGGGCCTTGGGCATGCAAGGCAAACACTCTACCAACTGAGCTATATCCCCAGCCTGTGATTTTTGTTTTATATTCACATTTAACTAAAGTTTTGTTGTATTGCACAGCTGAAGCATCTATAATTGTATTTTCTTATAATTTACTGTGCAAAAATCCCTTAGTGTAAACCTGAAGATTTCATTTTAATTGTGAAAGTAATGACAAAATTGTTAATTTTGCATGTAACAATAATAAAATGGCTATCAGTTTTAAGGCCTACCATATTCTGCACATAGGTATAACTGTTTTTGGAATCTTGCCCTTACTTCATTCTTACAAGATTATAGGTGTTTTAAAGACAGTGTTATTCCCATTTTATATGAGTCGCTTTAAACTTATGGAAATCACATCAAAGTGTAATAATCAGGAACCCATCAATAGAGTAGTGGCATTCTTATGCCCTCCATTTTAAAATCAAATGTTTATACAATACCTAGTATATAATAGATAGATAATAAGTGTTTATAAAATTTCAACTTCCTCTCCCTAAATTTCACATAATATATCTGTTTGCTAGGAAGTATAGCTTTGTTAAAGTATAATTATGACTTTGACTGAAAGAAACTAAACCATATCCTGTTTTGAATTAAAAGATTACTTTTTCCCATATCTGATTTATTGGTAATCCTTGTTTCCATTAGCAAGGTAGAAAAAAAAGAATCTATGCTTCAGAGACAGAAAATTTTACTAATATTAATATATTCTGGCCTTCAAATATTCTGTTTATTTTTCTCTGAATTTTAAGTAAAAATCATGTATCTTATCGTCCTATTCTTGGTTTTCTAATGGCAAGAACTAGTGAATATAAAAGTGTACCTGATTTGTGATTAGCCATTTTCTTTCATTCATTTTTTCATTTCCTTTTTTCTTATTTCCCTTGTTCATGTTACCCCTTGGTTGTATGTTGAAAGAGGCAGAAAGAGAGGAACTAGGGACTGAACCCAGGGTTTTATGCATGTTAGGCAGGAGCACTACTGTTTAGCCACATTCCCAACTCATTTTATTCCTTTATTGACAGCATCTATTCTGACTTTCAGTTTCAGGGACTTAATGTGGCAGCTTCTTATTCCCTTCCTCAAATATGTCTGTGATGGGTAGATTATTTTACTCTTTTTTATATAGCAGTACTCAGAATTAAATCCAGGCCTTATATGTGCTAGAAAACTACTCTGCCACTGAGCTACATCCCCAGAACTACTACTACTAATAATACTATTATTATTATTATTATTATTATTATTATTATTATTATTATTATTATTATTATTATTATTCTGCCACTGATATTACATCCCCAACACTATCGGCGTCATCATCATCATCATTATTACTAATTGTATTTTGAGACAGGCAATCACTTAGTTGCCCAGATTGGCCACAAACTTGGAATCCTCCTGCCTCAGCCTCCCAAGTGGCTGGAATTACAGGTGTGCACCATCATGCCCAGCTAAATCCTGTAATTGAAAGAGCCACTTCTCCTTGTTATGGATTAGTTGTCATTGATTACCTGTTTGCATTTGAGATTGCTGGAATCCAATGACTATAGATACCACTATCCCTTCATGATATATGACTCTACTGAATGCAAAGTCAGTTACAGTTGTGTTGACAGCTTTGGCCCTACCACTAGGTACATGGGCATACTTTTATCTGGTCAAAGGGAAGAAAATACCATAAATAGAAAAACTGTACTTTTTCTCTTAAAATGAGTTATTTTTCCCCTGTTTTTCTTCTGTTTTGAACTGAATTTTTTACTGTTATTAATGTGCTGCTGTGGTGACTTTATGCTCTTCTTGGGAAGAAGAAGCAGAGCTCCCAGCCATGAGAAAGAATGGACATCTGTGTGTGAAGTTCTTACTAATTATATAATTTCAAAGTAGGAACTTTGTAATTTAATACATTCCATTGACCCTACAACCTCTCAATTGATCACAAATCTCAAATATGATTCAAATTTTAGGAAGATTAACTAGATTGATTAAAATTTAAGGTTTTTTTTTATTATTATTTGAACAAAGTGTTAATTTAAGGCTACTCTCTGGTATCAGCTGAGTACATGATCCCTGTATATTTCTCAACTCCTTTCAAAAAGTTAGGATGACTTGCCAATCTTGGGTTCAAAAAAAATTATTTTTTTAAGTTAATTGAATATCTATATATCTTTGAAGACTATACCTCTCTTGAATTTGCTTGCTCATTTTCACAAAAAGGAAGTTTGTGAAGTCACAGTTTGTAAGCAAAGTTGTCTTGAAATGGAATTCTCAAAACCACTAAGCCGTCTGCTTTTTTCTCCCTCCCTCTCCTTTCTGCTCATTTGCTTTCTTTTTTCTTTCCTTTTTTGGGGGTATCCTGTTTGGGTAATATTTGATATCGCTTGGAGACTAGTGCTGTGATGGGTATCTACTGTGTGATATTCACTTACTCCATTGGTGTGAAAGCAACAAGGACTTATTTTCTCCCTTTTGTAGTAAACGGCATTCCAACTGTTTTTGACATCTTTAATTTTAGAGGTTGCCAATGGTCAGATCAGGGTCAAGGCTGACTTCAAATATTTTAGTAAGAGGCAGAAAGGAAAATGAGATCCTAACTTGCTAGCCTCCTGATCTACACATCCCCATTGATGAGTTAAAGCTATATGGGTGTGAAATTTGGTATGGAGGCTTAGGCTGCTTGAGCACCTTTTATCCCATAATAGTTGTGGAATGTGAAGATTTGAATTTTCATGGGGGCACTGATATTTCATGGTTGACAATGGATTTCTTAAGGCCTTGTCATTTCAAATTGCCGTGAGGTCTTGTTATTGCTGCTCCAAATGTGTATATGAACCTGCCTTTCAATGAACTTATTACAGTAGTGCTAACTTGTCTTGACACTCTTGCCAACAGTTCTAGTAGTCTTAAGAAGATCTACTTTCTGTAGTCACAGCACAGGTTTTATGGAGGATTCAGCCTAGTTTTTGGAGATGAATTTCTATAGACAGAAAATATATTGGCTTTAAAAATTAAGAGGTTTGATTCTGTTTTGAATTTGGATATCAAATGAATCTGAGCACATGACATTTTAATGTCGTTTGTCTTTTCAAATAGATTTACCTTCTAATGCATGTGACGACAGGACTTTGCTCATCAGCTAGAACATACATTTCAGAGGAGTTGTTACCTAAAATATTATCATAAGGCATAAGAAAACACACGATTTAAGTTGCCTTTCATGAACATAATTAAGAATTAATAAGCCAGTACCAGTGGCTAGTCCCCAGAATTTCCACTGTTTTGCCTTTTGTGACCTGTGTTATTAAAAGTCCATTATTTTTACAGACTTTATTAAATTGGATCTTATTAAAGCATTCTATATTTGCATTTGGTCTTTCATAATTCATTATTATTATGACATTTACTTTTTACCATCAGATCTGAAAACATATCATAAGCTACCCTTTTCTCTTGAAAGAAATGCTAATTTCAAACAGTCCTCTAATAGAAGAGAAAAGCTTTATCAGTTTTTTCATTTATTCCAGATCGTGTTAAGAATACTAATGCTAGACTTCGGTATGCTAATATCTCTGAGCTTTTTTGGCCAAAAGCTTAGAATTATTATTTTTATCCTATACTAAGTACAAAACTAGAAGATCTTCTAATATACTAGAGAATACGCAATTCTTGAAGTGCAATTCTTGATTCTAAAGACTTGTGAAAATGTTGCTAAATTGTGTTTCTTAGAATCTTGCTAGTCAGTCTGTCTTGATACCATGCTATATTATTTGTTCTATTTAAGAAAGTGTCCTCTTGAAATTCATTTGATAGATTTTTTTCCTCATAGTTTTTAGGTAGTACAGATTGTAATATTTTAGACTGAGAATCCTATGCTATCAGCCCCAGACAGCTTTTAGGGTGTACTTCCTGCTTTTCTATATGATAATCACTAAGATTTAGTTGAAAGTATAGCAAGATTTTATATATTGATAAAAGGTAAGCTAATTTTTACAGAACTAATAATAAGGGTTTTGTTAGAAGTACTAGTGAATTTATTAAACTCTGAAATGAAACTGACTTTGGATTTTGTCTCATTTAAGGTTTCTGACAATGTGTAACAGACACTTTGGCAGTGTTGTTGCACAAACCATTCGGACTCAAAAAACAGATCAATTTCCACTTTTCCTGATTATTATGGGAAAGCGATCATCTAATGAAGTATTAAACGTGATACAAGGTAAAGTACATGTCACAGCAAGAATAAAGTCTTCTCAAGTGATAGCCCTATAATTGTTACCCTTAAAGTTGATGTTACTTATTTCTATTATTGAATATATTTGCATTTTAAAATATAGAGTATCCTGAAAAAGAATATCTTCAAAGAGTTTGGGTGCTATAAAAAATGAAATATGCTGCATAAAATTTAGCAGAAACATCTGAATAAAACTGCACTCACTACCTTTTGTACATAGAATATTCAAGTTTTAAATGATCAGAATTGCTATATTCTCTAAATTAGCAATTAGATTATAATCATATGTCAAGTATGACTTCTTATTCATATTGACTTATGAGCATAATGTTGATTAGTTGAAAGAAATGCTTATCTTTTGTTGTCTAGAAAATCAAATGACTGTATATTGCAAATTGAATTGTTCAGTGACAGTTGTTTCTCCTTATTTAATGCATGTCTAAGATGCAGCCCCGAGGCATGAAGCTATCAAATACCTGTAAATTTAACCACAGTATACATTCTTTACCAAAATATAAGTGAATGATTTTTTTCTCTTACAAATCACTCCAAGAATTAGTATTAAAATATTACTTTGTTCATGCCAAAGCTTAAGTGAAAACGGTATATCTTCTCTTTTCCACTGGGAAAATGGTTTTTCACATACCCAAGGTACACCTTTTGTCTGGGATGTTTCCTTTCTGCCTCATTTAAGTCTGATGGGGGAGGGGGAAACTGTATATTCCAGTACCTTTAAACCCCAAACAAAACAAAACCTCTGGTACTTTATGTCTTCCCTATAACCTAGAGTATTCAGTTTCATAATGTGTCTACAAAGAGAGCTACTGCAGGGACTGATTTGCATAGGGTAAGTAAATGGATAATGAGAGTGAAATTTCATTCTTTTATTCTTATCCATCAGTGGCCATATTGCCATAATTAGTGATTCTCAAATTGTTGGATATGGACTTGAGATTTCCTAGACCTTTTCAGGGGATCTATAAAAATAAAAATTATTCTCATTATTATAATAAGGCTTCTCCACAGTTTTTATTCTGTTTACTTTTTTTTTTTTTTTAATTGAACCCAGGCCCTTGCACATTGCTAGGCAAGCACTTGACCACTGAGCTCCATCTTTAGCCCTTTTTATTTTACTCAAGACAGGGTCTCACTATGTTTCCCAGGTGGCCTTAAATCTGGAATCCTCCTGCCTCAGCCTTGCAGGTAGCTGGGTTTATAGCTATGCACTACCATGCTGGGTAATATGTATTAGTGTCTCCAAAGTAATGGTTTGTAAAACTGCTTGCACCTTAGCATGAGTCAAGGCCATGACACAAAACTATATTGGTATCATATTCTTCATTGCCTTGGACTTGAAATTAGAAAAGAAAGGGCCTTAAAAAAAAAGAAAGAAAGAAAGAAAGGGCCTTTTAAAAATCAATGTCTTTATTAAATTTTAACTCTTTTTAATATTTATTTTTTTAGGTTTTTTTTGGCGGACACAACATCTTTGTTTTGTATGTGGTGCTGAGGATCGAACCCAGGCCTCACGCATGCCAGGCGAGCGCACTACCACTTGAGCCACATCCCCAGCCCTAAATTTTAACTCTTAATAATTTGTGACATAATAGAAAATATAAACACTTATGCTACACACTAGTGTACACTGGTTGTCTCAAAGAAAAGCACTTATGGCTTGCCTGAGCTGAACTAGTTTATTTTTTCTCCCCCAGCTGAAATCATATTTACTTGAAAATATAACTGACAAACTGTGCTTATGTATCCTGGATATTTGGCAAACATTTTCTCCAAAATGAACAAAGTGAATTGGTCACTTTCAAGTAAAAGAACTGATGGATATTTGTTGCTAGTAACAAAATGAGTTGTCAAGCATAAAATTATATCCTTCACCATAGATGGACAGCTAAAATACTTTTCTGGTGACATTAGTGGTGATATTAACAAATGTGATTTTTTTTTTTTTTTTGGATAGCATATAATGAAGTATGTCAACATTCAGAAGAAATGCATAGCTTAACTCATGTTTTTCAAATACATCAATGCATGATATTATAAAATCAAGCAAAAGATAAAGATCTGTTCATAGGGCAACAGAGGGCCAGGTGTGGTGGTGCACGCCTATAATCCCAGCGGCTCAGGAGGCTAAGGCAGGAGGATCGCAAGTTGAAAGCCAGCATCAGCAAAAGCAAGGTGCTAAGCAACTCAATGAGATGCTGTCTGTAAATAAAATAAAAATAGGGCTAGGGATGTGGCTCAGTGGTCAAGTGTATGTTCTTGAGTTCAATCCCTGGTACCCAGGGGTGGGGGGGAAGGCAACAGAGAGCTGGAGTTGTGGCTCAGTGGTAGAGTGTGAGGCACTGGGTTCGATCCTCTGCACCACATTAAATTAATTAATTAATTGATTGGTTAATTAAACATATTATTTTAAAAATAATAATAATAAAAGACAACAGAACCAGGCTTAGTGGTGCATGCCTGTAATTCCAGCTTCTTGGAACACTGAGGCAGGAGGATCACAAGTTAGAGGACAACCTGGGCAACCTAGCCAGATCCCATCTTTACTAAAGAGATCAATTGGGGAAGGTGGGGGCAGTGGATTTTAATGTAACTGTCACCATATTGGGGTCCAAGGATGTCACTCCATGAGGGCAGTGGGACCTCAACTGCCCTGGGCAGATTCTTAACACTGCTGAAATGCATTTCAGGACACATTGAAAGCAAAGTACAAACAAAGATTTATTACAGGACATCAAAGCAAAAGTATTCACACCACAAAAGCAGGAGCAGGAACCCTTAATTCTAAAAAAAGAAAAGAAAAGTGATGCCCACAGGGTTGACCTCTCTGTATGTATGATTTTCATGGGAAAGAAAGTCTAGGTTCTCAGGCAAGCTTTTGTGGAAATCAGATCCCTTTGTCAGTCATTTGATATTTGGGGTTCAAAATGTTTCTTCTTGGCTAAAAGAAGTCTAGCTATAAATTAGTTGTGGGCACATTGTTTAGGTCTTTGAATCTGTGACATGTAAATTGATTGTTTTGTTCTAGATGATCTGGTACAAGTATACGCTGGAGGTTTTGTTCATTTAACTAAAGAGATAGCATGGCTGATTATGCTTTTAGATATGGGTCTCCATCTAGTAAGGGTCTCTTTTTTCTCTTTCCCTGAGAGCTTACCTATCTCATTTCTAGTTTATTCCATAAAGTATTCATTTCCCATGTTCTGAATCTTAGTCACACAAATTTGCAAATAAGATATGGATATACACAGACCTGCCCAGTAACAAAATCTACATTAAACGTGCTCCTAAACTTGTTTTGCCATCTTTGTCCTGTTAATAACTACCAGTGATTAGGTGTATGCTACATGCCAGACACTTTATATTATCTCTACTTCTTCTAAGAACCTTATAGAAGTCATATTGTCTTTATTTCAAAAATAAGAAAATTGATCCTTAAGAGAACTACAATCTACTCATTCTTGTATTCATTTGTTTATTAAATAAATGTTTATTAAGCCCCTTTTTTATGCTAGGCAATTTCTAGATGCTAGATCATGTAACTTATAAGCAGTGGATCTTGGTTGAAATTCTAACTCAAAACCAATTCTGTTTTCTTAGTACCAAGGTAATGCTTGTCCTTTATCTTATTTATTGAGAGTAGTACTGATATGAACAAATTGGGTCATTTCTTTTGCTAAGAACCACAGATGCTCCCTAATCACTTATTGCCAAGGATCATATAGAAAATTTGGGAAAGGACAATTGAAAGATGATGTTAGTGAAGCCCTACTCTGGAAATAGCCAGCAAGGATGCTTGCTCTTCATTGTCTTGTTGGCTAAATCTCATTAATGTGACAAGAAGACAACTTCTCAGGAGGCCCTGGAGAAAAGTTTTCTGCCTATAGGTTTGAGATCAGAAGAACTGCCCTATATTTGTGTATTTTTATGAATTTCTTTCTCCTAGTTGCATCCAAAGCAAACAAGGACTTATATTTATTCAAGAGATGGTAATATATTTGTTATAGACTTGGTCAGGGAATAAAATGACATTAAAGAAAATCAAACATTTAAATGCCCTCTTCATAAAAATTATATTATAGTCATTTCAAAGCAGCAAAAGTGGAAAATTATCAATTGGGATAAATAGGGTTTTTTTTTTCAGAAATTGTATTACTATTATTTGTTTCAACAATAGTAGGAGATGATTTTAAATAAAGACAGTGTACTAAGGGTGACACAAGACAGGCTTTTGGGTGAGACTCATTTGGTTTCAAATCTGGGCCCCACCAATGAACCAGCTTGTTCTTGATTGGTCAGGTTATCTTGAGCTCTCTAAGTCTCATTTTCTCTCATTTTAAAATCAAAATCATAATGAACCCTTAATAGAATTGTTGTACAGATTTAAGTTAGATAATATGTGTAAAGTGCTTAGCCTAACCGTAACATAAACAATTGGTAGTCGTCCTAGTGTTCTTAAGTAGATATGTTTTCATAATTTGAAAATTTTTGAACCTCTTAACTTGGACATTCTTTATAGTGCTAAAAATCCTTCTCCCTGGGCTGGGATTGATTAATTCTGGAATGACTTTCCATGTTTAATAAATTAAACCATTTAAAATTATATGTAAAATAAAGTTTGGCAATGTCTGTGTTGTTAGGTAACACAACAGTGGATGAGTTAATGATGAGACTCATGGCTGCAATGGAGATCTTCTCAGCACAACAACAGGAAGATATAAAGGATGAGGTATGGTGAAAGGTTAAACAGACCTTTAATAAAATTTTGGTGAGGTGATTAGTCAAATGATGTTGTATGCCTATATCATAATTGGGATAATAAAAACAATTTTCCTGATTAACCAAAGTCTTTTATGCCACTGAGTTTACTTTTTGGTCTCTTTGTTTTATGACCCCAACATCTAATAATTTGTTAAATACATTGACTATTTACTCTTTGTTAGAGTGGTAACAAGAGGCTAATTTACAAGAAATGAATTTAGAGAAATGTTTATGGAAGAAACTACAATCCAGGAAATTCTGTCTACCATATGGATTTTATCATTCACTTTTCTCTCTAGTCCTAGAAAAGGATGCTATAGAGAGAGGACTGCTTTTGATAGAGCAATGTATCCAATGCTGGTTGTCTGCAAAGGACAACACCAGGAAATAACTTAATTTTCCATCAGTATTGTGATCTCCTGTTAATACTTTCTGTTGACTTAACCCAATCAGAAGCTATAAGGCAGAATAATTTTTCTGGACCAAAAGCTATGTAGAATGTGGATCCAGAGAGACAAAAGGAAGTAAAGGTAGTCCAGATTGGTATGATTATTTTGATTTTTCAACTGAGAAAAGTAAGAGTCAAAGTTAGATAAATTAGACCAAGATCATATGGTTGATAGAAGTTATAATAAAAATCTCAAATAATTCTTAGCATTTTATCAATCAATAAATTTTCTGGATTTGGAAAATAGCCTGAAGATAAAATATGAAGCAAATATTAACATTTGTTAACTTAGGATGCTTAGTTTACAGATATTTGTAAAATTATCATTCTAATTTTTGTTTTTAATTAAAAATATATTTCTGTAGAATAAACAAGGAAAAATGTATTTCTGAACATTTCCAGGTATAATGGGTGTTTTCGATAGAGTACCCTTAAGTTATTGCAAATGTGAAACATGTAGATAATATTAACATAACTCCGTAGAATTAACATATCTCTTTCTTCCATTAGACTATAAATTTGTTAAGAGTAAGGATCATAATCATATTCATGTTTGTAAATATCCCCCAACAGTGTACCAAGGAAAAAGTCAGTGCTCAGTAAATGTTTGTTAAATGGTTGAATAAATGAATGTTTGGAAAAATATAGGTGAAACATGGTAACTTAAAAAATATGATTACAATTATACAAACCCTGAGGTGTCTACGTAAACAAATATGAAATTTTTATAACTAGATTTTTAATGCTCACTAGATTTTTTTAAGTGCTGTAAAGATATTGAGTTTATAATTTTTCTTAATAGTCAGTGTTTCATTCACCTGAAGGAAAGAGAGTTGGCTGTATGGTAGAAAGATTTTATCTGTTACTCTATAAATTGACAGTGACATTTTGAAATAATGAAGTACTGTTCTTAGTTAGGAATTTGTAATAATAGGTATGTTGCCATTCAAGATTACATTTATCCTGTAAGAGAGGCATTGATTGACAATAATTCACTCAACACATTATTCAGTCATTTAAATCTTGAGTCTCATTAGTATCAGATTTATAGATTATGTGTAATAAATAGTATGATCATACAATATTTGCATGCATATTCCCAGTTCATTCTTTCATCTTAATTTGTGTTCACCATAATTCATTGGTAAAGAAATTGACTTTAATTCCTTTAATGCTGAGCACAAAATTTAATATGAGGGTTACAGGAAAAATCCAAGGCTCCATATAATTGAAATTTTTATTGAAATTTAACTATAAGAAGTAAGGATTTTTTTGTGTTTTTAGAGTGTCTTCATGAGAATTATCATTGGTTATTTATAAAATTCCTAAGAAAAGCTTTGCTAAATTTAATGACTTCTTTGGAATTATGTATAAATCATATTGATTTGATATCTACTGGATATGTGACAAAAACCACTATATCTTATAATTGTGAACTTGCCTTTAGTTTTAAAAAATTATAAATAACTTCATGTTAAACATGTTAAAATCAAATTAGGAAACAGGTTTAAAGTGCAACTTCCTAAGCCTGCATTTATTTAAACTTAACTTTGGTTAAATTACATCCATTGATTCAATGATTCCATTATTTTAGTACAACCAGAGATGCCTATGTACAGTATTAAGTTTCTATTAAACTCAAGTCTGAACTTTAGTATTTATACTGTAAATCATTCTTCAATGGCCCACAATGAATTAACCTTTATATCATTGATTGCTTTCTCTCTGATCAGGACATATATATTATATGAGCTTCTGTTATGACAGTACTACCTATAGATTTTTCCTTAGACATTTTTGCTAATATTTTGGTATTATGAAATGTTTATTGAGCATCTACTAAGTACATAATATGGGCTAAGTCCTTCAGACAGAGAGGTGCTTCACTCTCATAAGGGACTGTTGGCAAAGACAATGAGAAGAACAATATCACTGTGATATTAGCAACATTTTAGAATCTTTTTATTTTTATTCTTTTTTTTTTCCTTAAAGCTTTATTCCAAATAATGTATGCTTCCTAACATTTAAATGAATTAAATTTTCTTCATATGTAATTTTGTTTTAGCTATAGGTAATTTAGAAACCTCTGATAATCAAGAGTTACTTAGTTCCTAATCTCATTTATTCACTCAACACCAATTTATTTAGAACTCTCTATCCTAGATGCAAGGATTATTCCCTTCAGTCTAGCCTCTAAATTACTTATGTCTGAGCAGTAGTAATTGTAACAATCTAGATATTGGAAATCATAGTAGATTTCAAGGGCAGTTAAATTGTGTGTGTCTCTCCCTCTCTCGAGCACACTCGTGCTTGTGTGTGTGTGTGTGTGTGTGTGTGTGTGTGTGGTTTGTTTTTGGTAATTCTTAGACTATTCTGGCACAATAAGGGCAAAATATGCCAAAGGGGCATTCATTGCCAGCTTATTTTAGAGGGTTCTGATTTGGGACTTAAAACAGCACTGCCATAGCATGGGAAGGGTATGCTTTTTAAGCTCATTGTAGCTTTTGTATTACCAAAGGAAATTGTTGCCTTTGTAGTTTGCTGCATGAAATTTGTAAATTTTTTTTCTCTTAAGCTTTGTCTTTTTTTTAAATTGCTTTTATTTTTTTAAGTACATGACAGCGGAATGTATCACAATTCTTATTATACATATAGAACACAGTTTTTCATATCTGTATATAAAGTATGTTCGTACCAATTCATGTCTTCATACATGTACTTTGGATAATGATGTCTATCACATTCTACCATCATTGCTAACCCCCTGCCTCTCCCTTCCCCTCTCACCCCTCTGCATTATCTAGAGTTTGTCTATTCTTCCCATGCTCCCCCTCCCTACCCCACTGTTTTCAGCAGTTCACTCCTTTTCCTTCCCTTAGTTTAAAACCCTAACATTGTCACTCCCATTCTCTTTGCAAAGCTAACAGTGACAAATAAGATACAGATTTTAATTTCTGCTGCTGTTTTCTTTAAACAGGAATAAGTCATTACAAGACACATAGAGAACAAACACAGTCTCTTTACACAAAAACTTAAAGCAAAGCAAAACTTACTTAACAGACCAACCTTTCAAAAGCTATTTTACTTTTATTCTTTTAAAATACACACACACACACACACACACACACACAGTCATACACATCACTTCCTAAAGATAGCAAGATTACTCGTTGCTCAGTAGTTCAGTTAGGAAAGTCACAGAAGATTTACTACTCAGAAGTATCTTTCAGGAGAAAGGACTAACCACATTAATTGTTAATGATTAGAATGCTAAATGGTTAGTTGAATACACCAGAGAATGCCTTTCTGCTCAGAAAAAGAGTTCTTGATCTAGTCGACTTTTCATCTTTTGAGTATGATAAGCTCATTGACTTTGAGCCTGACAGAGTTTATTTTATGAGAAATTTCATTTGGGTTCTCGTTTGATCTAGATATTCAGGTATAACTAAATGAGCTGAAAAGCATGTGGTTCTAGTCTGAGTAATAGCTACTTGGGTCTTTTTAACTTAATACAAGTTTTAAATTTTTTCTTTATTAAAAATAAAGAAAAGAGCCAAGTGTGGTGGCACATGCCTGTGATTCCAGTGGCTCAGGAGGCTGAGGCAGAACAATTGTGAGTTTAAAACTAGCCTTAGCAACTTATTGAGGCCCATAGCAACTCAGTGAAACCCTGTCTCTAAGTAAAATACAAAAAAGGGATGAGGATGTAGCTCAGTGGTTGAACACCGTTGGATTCACTTCCCAGTAACAAAAAATAAAAGTCAAAAAATATAGAAAATAGATGAAATATAAAATCAACCTACTACTCAGAGAGTCATAATATAAATAACCTATCTTTGTGAAATATTGTCAACAAAATCAGCTACCTTCTAATTTTCAATAAACTTCTTAGTATTGTTTAAATATTCTGTTTCTGCTACCTAGAAATTATGATCTTAGAAGTTTTCCTAAAGTTGTTAGTTTGTACATAGACCAGTATGTGTTCAATACTAAAGTCAAAATATTTTTTTACCAGTCAATTATAGAAAACAAAAATTTAAATGAAAGAATGGACTGGGACTAACTAACCATGCAAGAATTTTATGTCCATATACTTATTCAACATAATCTATGAATCTGTTACTAACAAGACTCAATTGATGCAGAAAAATTTTGACCAAAAAATTTAATATTTGTTTAATGATAAATACACACAATATAGTAGGAATAGAAGGGAACTTCCTTGACATCATAAAAGCCGTATCTGAAAAACCCACTTGTGATGTCATGCTCAGTGGTGAAATACTGAAAACTTTTCTCCTAAGGTCAGGAAAAAGACAAGAATGCCTGCTTTTACCACTTTTATCCAACATAAAACTAGAACTTCTAGCCAGAATAATTAGGCAAGAAAAATAAATGAAGCATCCCAATTGGAAAGAAAGAAGTAAAATGATCTCTATCACTGATGACATGATCTTCTATGTAGAAAATGTAAAAGATTCCACACCAAAGACCTATTAAAGTTAATAGATGAATTCAAC